CGAAATCCTGAAAATGGGTGCAACCAGTCATTTCGTCGTCCAGAAACAGGACCATCCAGGCTCCTCTCACCAAGAGATCGATAATGAGCCAAACTGGGGCTCAGGCCACAACCATCGTGTCGGCTTCAAGAACAAAGACAATCGCGTGCCCGGCTACGTGGAAGAATCGAAGGGAAAGCTGGGTGCATATCACACGCGCGTTAGCAATGGAGAGCTCGTCAACTTTGAGGACATCATCAGAGCCCAAGAGAATCTGAGCCTCCGCCATCCGGAAAACCGGTCAGTTGGATGGCGGTATGTGCTGAACGTTACTGAGGAATGGGTCAAGTACGGACAGAAGTGGCCCGCGAATCTGGAAGCTGAGAAGAAAGCGAAGGAGAAGGAAGCCAAGGAGGGGAATGGAGAAGCCACAAATGGCAGCAGCCAGGACCAGAATGGCCATGATGAGACTCCGTCGGGTCAGAACGGACATCAAGATGAGGAAGGCCAAGAAAAGCCAGAAAACAAGTACTCCCATCACGAGCTTGCGCTTCTTCGGGGACTGGAACACGAGAGCGACTACATCAAGAAGCTTGAAACGAACGACGGAAAACGGGAGTCTCCTCAGAAAAGCCATCGAGAGCACATTGCAATAGACGAAGCCGACCAATTTACCCCTGACAACTGGCTCCCGCGAAGCCCCGAGCTGATTCGACTCACCGGCAAGCATCCCCTCAATGCCGAGCCTCAGCTCACAAAGCTATTTGACGCGGGCTTGATAACGCCGAATGAGCTGCACTACGTGAGGAACCACGGTCCCGTACCGCGCCTTCTGTGGGAATTCCACACCCTCGACGTGGAGAACGGCAGACTCGTCCTGACGATGGACCAGCTCAAGAACAACTTCGACACTGTCAACATCCCAGTCTATCTCGCCTGCGACGGCAACCGCCGAAAGGAACTCAATCTCATCCGTAAATCCAAGGGCTTCAACTGGGGCGCCGGCGGAGGAAGCTGCGCCTACTGGAAAGGTTCCCTCCTCCGAGACATCCTCCTCGCAGCCGGGACCCTCGACGAGCTCAGCGAAACGAAGCGGTACTGGGTCAACTTCGAAGGCGCAGACGAGCTAAGCGAAGGGAAATACGCCACCAGCATCCCCTTCGACTACGCCATGGACCCGATGAACGACGTCCTCCTCGCCTACGAGATGAACGACGTCCCCCTGCCCCCCGACCACGGCTACCCCGTCCGGCTCATCGTCCCGGGCTACGTCGGCGGCCGCAACGTCAAGTGGCTCAAGCGCATCTGGATCTCCGAGACGGAAAACGCCTCGCACTACCACATCTGGGACAACCGCGTGCTGCCGTCCTTCATCACCGACATGGAGAGCGCCCTCGCGGAGACCATGTTCCGGCACCCGAGCACCGCGTGCAACGAGCAGAACCTCAACTCGGTCATCGTGCGCCCTGAGCAGGGCGAGAGGATCAGCCTCGCGGACGCGCAAGGGGGAAAGGTGTACCGCGTCCAGGGGTTTGCGTACGACGGCGGCGGGCATGAGGTGCAGAAGGTGGAGGTGTCGCTGGACGGCGGGGAGACATGGTTGTACTGCATCCGCGAGTTTCCCGAGGCGCCAATCCGGCATGGGAAGAAGTTCTGGACGTGGCTACATTGGCATGTGGATGTGCCGCTGGCGCATCTGATCCAGGCGAGGGAGATCAAGGTGCGCTGCTTTAATGTGTTTAAGAACACGCAGCCCGAGAAGCCAGCATGGAATCTGATGGGGATGATGAATAACTGTTGGTACACGGTCAAGTCGGAGATTGTGGAGGCGGAGGAAGAAGGGGGTCCTGCTTGTGTGTTGTTCCGGCATCCTGTTGAGCCTGGGACGGGGGAGGGAGGGTGGATGAAGCCCAGTGTGGTAAACCAGGTAGAGGCGGCCAAGCGTGACAACGGGACGCCGCAGAAGCAGTTTACGAGGGAGGAGATTGAGAAGCATGACAAGGAGGATGATTGCTGGATTGTCGTGGATGGGAAGGTGTATGATGCAACGTCGGTTATGGCGTGGCATCCTGGAGGTAAGGCGCCGATTATGGCGCATGCTGGAAGGGTGCACCAGGAGGCGACGGAGGAGTTTGAGAGTATTCATGATGGGTTCGCCTATGAGAAGCTGAACGGTAAGATAAGTTTTGCACCGGCTTTTGGGGGGATACTGACGTTGCAGAATGCTTGCTCGGTGTTGTCACCGACAAGGCCAAGAACTTCATCAAGAAGAATGCCGAAAAGGCAGCGGCCGATAGAGCCAAGGACAACAGCAACGAGAAGCGGGCGCTGCAGAAGCACAAATGGATTCCTACCAAGCTTATCGACCGCAAAGCGCTCTCGGAGGACACATTCTCCTACACCTTTCAACTACCGGACCATCAGGCAGTTCTGGGACTGGGAACTTGCCAGCACGTCTTGATTGGGTTCCATCTGAAGGACAAGATGCTCGTGCGGTCTTACACGCCGACGCGTCCCATTCTACCAGCTGCGGATAACGCACCCAGCAAGGTAGCTGAGAAGAACGGGAATGGAGTCAAGAAGAACGGGAATGGAGTCAAGAAGCATGGCTCTGCAGACGGCGACGGCACCTTTGAGATGGTAGTCAAGACGTACTTCCCGACTGATAAGCAGCCCGGCGGAGCCATGTCCAACATCCTGCATTGCATGCCCATCGGAGGCGAGGTGGAGATTCGCGGGCCGACGGGTGAGATCACGTATGAGGGAAACGGTAGGTTTATCATTGACGGTGAGGAGCGCGTGTACCGGCAGGTATCTCTGGTGCTAGGCGGATCGGGCGTTACGCCTGGGTACTCCCTCGTTGCGAGAATCGTGGAGTCTGGTGATGACGAAACAGAAATTCGGGTCGTGGATGCGAACAAGACGGAGGACGATATACTTCTTCGAAAGGAGTTTGATGGTTTCGTGAAGCGGAGCGGTGGGAGACTGAAAGTCACGCATGTCTTGAGCCACCCCAGTGGTGAATGGGATGGCTTGAGCGGCCATGTTGACGGCAAAGTTCTTAGGAAGAACTTGTTCCCTCCGACAGATGATAGCGCGGTCTTCCTGTGCGGTCCACCAGCGATGATCCAAAAAGCTGCATTGCCGGCATTGAAAGGTGAGAAGCCACATCTCCAAGTGTGGTGTTGTACTAACTGGTCCCAGAATGGGGTTACGAGGAGGACGAGAATGTCTTTGGTTTCTAGTCTATTTCTCTTAAAACGTAGAATGCATTTACCCATCATGTCCTTTGGTCTATCCCTGCCATCTGCGATAAACGTCAAACTGCTGGTGCATCCTCTCCTCCTGTCCCGGGGTGAACTCCGTCGTGCTACGTCTCCAGTCAGCAAATCTCCCTCTCAACCGCTATCATCAGAACTTACCAAGTATCGTCAGAGTAATCCATAAAGTTATGAATCGGGTCCAACCCAGGCGCATCAGGGCACGAGTCCCTACCCACAGGACACCCCGAGCTCGCGCCCGCCTGCGCCGGCGTATCCGCCACCTGGTCGTTGATCCCGTCGCAGAACCGGCCATGGAACGTGTGAAACAGCCCAAACCAGTGCCCGACCTCGTGGATCGCAATGTGCCCCTTGTTCGGGACTACCGTCTCGTTCCCGGCGCTGCTGCGGGGGACCATGCCCGGCATGCTGTCGCCGTTGACCCAGCACCCGTCGAGGTAGAACTGCTGGCTGCCGTCCTGCACGACGCCCGCGAGGTTGCAGTACCCGCCGATGCCCTCGTTGAGGTCGCTGAAGAAGTAGACGTTGAGGGCGTCGTAGGCGCCGCGGCGCGTGGCGGTGCGCCAGGCGACGTAGGCGTCGTAGTCGGGGATGCCGATGCCCTCGTCGTCGTAGAAGCCCTTGCCGGCGACGTCGTCGACGACGCGCGAGACGTTGACGAGGTTGAGGGAGAAGCCGTGGCGGAGGTAGGTTGAGTGCAGGACTTCGAACTGGGCAGTGTGTTAGTGATGAGTGTTTCTGAGAAAAGTGGTGATGGCTTACCTGGGCATCGACGGTGGCGTCGCTGATTCTGTCCTGGTTGGCCTCGGTGCTGGCGACGTGGAAGTAGACGTCAACCTCCTTTGGCGCATCTTGCCGCTTGACATACGTCGGCAACGAGATCTGAGGGAGCTCGGCCGCGGCGAGGGTGTCGTCGTTGACGCATTGGAGTTTACCCAACGCCAGCGATGCGCCAAGCGTGAGGAGAGCGGTGGTGGCGCGAGGGAACATCATCTTGTCCAAAGGTTGAGCAGATTCTCACCGAAAGGCTGACCAGCAGAATACCTCGAAGCCATCACGGGGCCGTTTGTCACCGCCTATTTAAACAAGAGCAACCCGCCCAGCAATGATGGCACAAATAGCCAAGATAAACATGTCAACCCATGGGGCCATCGTGAACACGAGGGCTTGGGCTCTTGGCGGACTGCTTAAATCGCGAGAAACTCCACCGCGGGGGTGACGCTGGAAGCTCGGGGGAGCAAGGGTGTCGAGCGAACTGCCGGAACGAGAAAGGCTCCCGAGTCGACGCGCTTCGTATCGCGGGAGTGGACGATGATTAGATCAAAAAGCGTGCATATGGTGCTGTGTGTTGTTGAAAGGCGCAATTTAGACGGCAAGGAGACGAAAATAACCTTAACCAGCTTCCTGTTGGGGAATTGCTGTCGCGGGAATATCCCAGGTGCCAAGAAGTCATCATGTTAGCGGTCGGCAGAAGATCCCAGCCTTATAACTATGGATTAACCTGTGTGAGCTTCCGGGATGAATACGGCAGTGATAACAATCCACACGTACCGATCGGCGAACAGTGGGTTCGGCAGAGACCCGGCGCCGGACCCGGCCGCATCCCGGAACACTATGGAATCGGCTTCATGAAGCCCGGTTGCCCAGGCCTGAAATACGTACTACTCCATGATTCCAAAGAATCAAAAAATGAATTAGGCTAATGATACTGGTTGGTGCTGATCACAACATCAAACTCCCTCAGAGCTTCGACTTCTCCCTCCTCTGCCCATCCGCCTCACCCCCCGGCTCCGTACTACTCGTCTCCGCCTTCAAACTAACCGGATCGCCCAGCTGCGACGGGTTACCCGCCTCGTTGTTCTCCTCCGCAATCTGCTTCAGCCGCTTCTTCTCCTTATCCTGCACCGGGCTGCCGTCCGAGTTCTTCGCGCCGAGGACCCCGCCTTTCTTGTTGGAGGCTCCTCCCGAGCTCTTCTGCGCGCCTTGGTCGCCCTCCGTGGGCACCAGCTTCGACACCTCGGCCTTGAGCGAGACGGGGTCGCCGAGCTGCGAGGGGTTGCCGCCGGCGACGTGCTTGAGGCGCTCGGGTTGCTTTTGCTGCTGCGGTGCGTGTGAGTGGGAGGAATTGGAGGGGCTGGCGCCGAAGCGGTCGAGGAGGGAGAAGATTGGGCTTACAGGGGCCATTGTGTGTGTAATGCTTTTGTGCGAGTTTGCTTTTGTGGATGAGTTATCGTGTCGATGGAGATTCTCCGACCTCGCAGAGAGCTGGAATATGCTGATTTAAGGAGCATTCTCCGTGCTCCCCTAGTCGAAGCGCAGCCGTTGCAGAATCAATGGCGTTCTGGTGGTTCTTTGACGCCTTCATCTCAATGACGTGTATGACTTGGACCATACGTGACTTACAACCGACGCCGGCCGTGCTGGGGGAAACTACCGGACGATCCCGTCGCCGCCCTTTTCCACATTCCAGCAGTCAGAATTCGATTGCAAAAACGCATGTGAAACCCCAGATCGATCTACCCGTTCGTCTCTAGTCTTAGCCCTACATGCAGCCGATCGTCATCACTTGCATACCCATCGGCTTCTCGATGTCGGTAAAGAATTCTTTTCTAATGTATGTACTACTGCATTGAGGTATCTACCGCGCGCTCAATGCACGCAATGCTGAAAAAACCGATACAAACCAACAAACTCCGTCTTTAACCCGTAATGCCACCTGTAATCGCCAGCCCGTGAATTATACACATGTCTATCCGTGTGCCCATCGTGAATTACGCCCGCACCGCAGCCGCCTGGTGCTGCGCGGCGCTAGCAACAGCCTGCAGCGGCTCCAGCTCCTCCTCCATGTCCCGGTCCGTCTGCTCCACCGCCGCAACCTGCGCATTCACCCCCTCGCCGCCCGGAGCCGCCGCTGTCGACGTCGCGGTCGTGGTCGCAGCGCTCGCGGGCGTCTGCTCCGGCGAGCCCATCCCAATGACGTCGATCCACTTCCAAAACTGCACCTTGCCCTCGCTCCTGTCGAAGATGGCCTTGTCGTCCATCAGCCCGTCGTCCGGGCCGTTGTCGCCGTCCTCGTCGCCCGAGATGCCCATCTTGCCAGACCCCGTGCCGTCGACGAGGTCGCCGATCCACGTCCGCGCGACGGGCACGTTGTTCACGCGGAGAAGCTGCAGCTGCGCGCGCAGGTTCAGGCGCAGCGCGCGCTCGGGCTCCTCCGAGTTGAAGATCTTCTTGGTCAGCCATGGGAAGAGGATGCCGAAGTCGGACTGGGAGAGGTGCGCTGAGTTCTCGACGTAGAAGAAGTTGGGCTCGGGGAGGCGCACGCCGCTGCGGCGGAAGGTGGCGGGGGTGAGGACGTTGGAGGACGGCTCCGGGGAGAGGACGCGCGCGGTGACGTGGAGGTGGTCGGTCCACTTGTAGAAGGCGTCGGACTCGACGGCGAGGATGGCGGTGCCGCCGGGCGCGGCGGGCTTGTTGGCGTAAGCGGGCAGGGGCAGGTCGAAGAGGGCGGATGAGCCGGGGGCGAGAAGGGGGAAGCACCACATGTCGAGGAGCATGGTGACGTTCTTCTCGGTGACCTGCTTGCAGAGGGTGGAGTCGCGGCGCGGGGTGAAGAGGGGCTTGGGCACGTGTGCGAGGGCGGAGGACTCTGCGTAGTAGGTGGTCTTGAGGAACTGGACGATGGAGGCGGAGCCGAAGCTGTGGCCGCCGAAAAGGATGCAGCCGGGGTCGTGGACGTGGAGCTTGTTCTTGAAGGGGGTGAGGGATGGGGTGGACTTGTTGAGGTTGGACATGGCCATGCCAAGGTCGAGGTTGAGGGCGACGACGTGGATGAGGCCGAGCTCCCAGAGGCGGATGCGCAGCTGGTCCTCGCGGGCCTCATAGATCTCGGGGCGGGCGTCGTGGTCGAGGCGGACCCAGGGGACGACGCGGCGGGTGTTGCGGAGGAAGTACTGGTCCTGCTTGCCGGGGATGCGGACGAAGGAGGCGACGGCGCTGCCGTCGCGGTGTTCGGGGCAGATGACGACGATGCCGTGGGAGGCGAGGGAGCCGGCGAGGTGGGAGTACGTGTTGCGGTTGCCGCCGAGGCCGTGGGAGAAGATCATGGTCGGCCAGCGGCGGTTCGGGGTGTCTGGTTCGAGGATGTCGGCGTTCTTATGGACGGGGATCGTGGTGTAGTGAAGGTGTCGTGGGAGGAAGCTGTTGGAGGTTCTTGTCAGTTCAAATTGTAACCATGATTAAGACGGAAGGAAGACGTACGAGATCATGTCGGCCACCATTGGGCGGATGCCAATGAACTGGGTATACGCCGAGACATGCTGGCGCTGGGGCGAGGGCAGCCAGTTTATCCTCTTGCCGTTGGATTCAGGCACAGCTGGGTAGAAGACGCGGCACTGGACGGTGTGTATCTCGGTGGCCGTGTAGGGCGTCGGGCTGGGCGACTCGAGCTCGGAGACGGGCACCTCGATGTCAACGGTGCCGACCTTGTGCGGGCCGGTGTAGTCGGGGAAGGCCGGCACAGGGCTCAGGCGGGAGAAGAAGGAGGCGACCTTCTCGGCGGCCGTCGGGGGCGCTTGCGCAGCGGGCGACATCTCTGCGTGGCGTTCTGCTCTGCTTCTGCAGTCGTGCTGCTGGCTGTGTGTTTTGACGAGTTCACGGGCAGGATTGGTCGTGGGTTTTCTGGTCTGGTGATATGATGCTGCGGTGCGCAAAAGGTTGAGAGGATGAAATCGTAGCGCAAGCCCGAGGATGGGAGGAAAAATAAAAAAGAAGGGACCGGATCGGATCGGCTGTAGTCGTGAGGACGTGATCGCGTTATGCCCTTTACAAGCTTCTTGCGGTCGGATATGCGAGTGTCGCGATGGTGTTTTAAACCAATGTTTCCGCCGATCCAAGGTGGTCTGTCGCTCAATGCGGGTTCAATGCGACGGGATGGAAGCAGGGAAAATGTCGCCAGCAAGGTAAGATGCGGAATGCAAGCAAGGGAGAGACAGTTTCTCTTCGTCAGCGGAGCCACTACCGAAAGACTTGTTGCTGCGGTAGGCCAATCTAATCAATTGGAGCCCAGTCCGGTGCGCTATGGCGTGCCGCCAGCCAGGATGTCGGTAACTCTGCTGTGATGACGGACAGGGGTGTTGAGGCGTTGGTGTTGTGTCGAAGCTACTGCAAGCAAGCTGTGACCGGCGATATCCGACCTTTGGACACTTGTTCGCAGGTAATATGCAATTAAGAATGATTCAGAATCATCAACAACGAGGCGACAACGTGGCCGTGTGGAAGACCGTAGAATGGAAGCAGGGCGAATTAGTCGACAGAAACGCAGTGCTCGGATGGGATTTCGAAACCCGATTGCAATTAGCTCGGCGCGGGTTTCCCTGCTGGCAGCCTCAAAAAACTCCAACAAGCCAAGTCAGCAGTTCCTTGTCAATTGCGTTGAAGGAGCAGAAGCAGAGGCCAGAGTCCAGACAGAGTTCTGGGTGGGATGTCGCGAGACCGCACGAACACCTCCATCTCGCCCTTTTATGAGTGTTGGCCACCAATAATTTGACCACGGTAAAAGGCCAAAGGCAAAAAAAAAGAGTAGCTTCCTTTTCTTGACAACCAATCATGGTTGCTAATCCAGGCTGTCGTGTGGCCATTTGCCAGAGCTGGAAACGTCATCTACGCGTATGAGTCGTGCGGGCTGTTGGCCATTGTGTCTGGCGGCTAAAAATCTTTTTTGCTGCCTCGGTCAACGAAAACGGTATAGAGGCTGAAAATGGCACCGACGGTAATAAGGCGAGGCTTGGTCTCAGCTCCGGTCCTGATGCTGCCGCTGGTCGAGCCATATGTACCTCAAGTCTTTTTCATCCACCGACGGACAGCCCGAGATGCTCAAGAGCGTCAGGAACAGGAATCCGATTGGAAGTGGAACGCGACGGCGGCTGCTCCGGATTCCTGGGCCGCTGCAACACAACGTGACGAGATCAAGACCATCGAAAAGGGCAGGGCGACGCAACTGACAAGCTGTCACGACGAAACCCCCTTTTTCACCATGGTCTTTGCGTTCGTCAGCGCATGAACCATTCTCAACGTCTCCAAACTGTGACGCCAGCCGCATAGACTCGGGACATGCAGAAGAAAACCGCCCTACTTCGTCGACGGGGCCGATGTCTTATCGTTATCTCGATCTCGATCAGCTTAGGGCGTACTCCACGAAGGGCGTTGCAGAAGACAGCTGCTGCCCCAGGGACGCTCCTTGTCACGATGAAGAACGATTGACGAAATGGAAGCGGCCCAGACCCCATCTTCGTTCCCGACGGCCTGTCTGTTTGGTGGAGATGTTCGTTGGCAAAAATAACGAGGTGAGCAGGGAATAACGTCATTGTCGGCCCTGGACAACGCCGATGCCGCCCCCACCAGTCCAGGAACCTTACGTCAGACAAAGCGTGGCGATTGGCTGTAAAAGGTCTTCGCTTCGGTCCGGACCCGCTCACTGCATTTGGACGTGACCCACTTCCATCCGCTGGTTCCTTATGTAATCAAAAAGGTCCACGCTAGACTCCTTTGGGGAGGACTCCACTGCCAAGCTCTCATTCGCTCTCGCTTTCCTTCATCAACACCTTCGAACAGCTGCCAATCTCACGACTTCAAGCATCGTCACGTATGAGCAATCAGACCAAGTGGATTAAACAATCTCAGTATTTTTACTTTTCTGTTGACTACGAAGTTCTTCAAGCTCAGGCAGACACGCCCTTGAGCAGGCTCTCCTTGCGCTTCTGCAGGATGTAGTAGTACCGTCCCATGTCGATGGGCTTGTTGGGCTCCTGGTCGCCCTCATATGTGCCCTGTCCGTGTCCATCAAAGTGAACCTTCCAGGCTGTTGGGTATAGTTAGTATCAACTTCATCAGGATGATGTGTCAAGCGACACTTACTGCTGGCATCAAAGCCGAGGTACGACCAGCTGTCGTTGAGGTACGCTCTTTCCGTGCCGACCTGGATCGTCTTGACCTTGCCCATCTCACCCGGCGCAGGCCGCAGCTGTCTGAGGTCCGCGACGAGCTTGACGAGGCCGGTGACAAAGGCTCGCGCAACGTCCTGGCCGACGCACTCGTGCTGACCGTAGCTGAAGGGCTTGATGTGGTCCGTCGAGCGCTTCGCGTCGAACTTGTCCGCGTTGGGGACCTCCTTGGGGTTCCGGCCG